AAAAAATGACGTGCATCAAGGTCCTATTATGTTTAATGTATGTACCAAATTTGAACAAAATCCGTCCATGCATAACTGAGATCCGGGTCCGGAATGGTGAAAATGTGCGATTTTGATGCATTTTCGGCCTTAAAATGGCCGCTATTCGGCTATCGTTAATCGGATCATGAAAAAAATGCATGTGCATATGTCCCATATAATGTGTGATGTATGAGTGAAGTTTGAACTCAATCGGTCCATGCATGTTCGAGATACAGGTGATCACGGACGCACGGACGCACGGACGCACGGAAGCACGGACGCACGGACGCACACAGGGCAAAACATAAGTCCCCGTTTTCGGACTGCGTCCGAACGGGGACTAACAAAAACTCAGTAAAACTTGAACTACCACCTGGAAAGTGTTTCAGAATTCACCTAGACATTCTGAAACACTGTGAAATTTAGAGTTGCAACTTTTTTCACATTTTAGAAGATCCTATACTGACTGAGCTATAAGCAGGTGACTAATAGGGAAATGTAACAAGTAGCAACCAGGGTACTCAAAACTTGTAAGTTGATAACAACATCATACATCTCACAAACTTGATTTCATTATTTTTTGAATACTGATATTTTTTTACCATGAACATATTTAACTACAGTGGATCAACAAAACCGACCAGCAAGGAATAAACAAGCACTAATATGGAGAATAAAAAACAGAACGTTTCGGGTTCAACCCTTTCTCAGCAAGTGGACACATAACAGAAAAACACCTCACTATAAAGCATACAAACACAATAAGGAGCTAATCAAGGTAAAGCAAAGGAAATGAGGTGAATTGACAATTAATACCAGCTGGACTGAGTGTGCCAATTTTAAATACTAATGATTGCTCACACCTGAGCCGAGAGGAATCCCCGTCATTTATATGTAAAATACCAGTAACCGTCATATCAGAGACACCATATTTGGGGGGGGGGTACAAAAATGCTTAGCTACGGGATATGCGATCTTGTTGTCTTTGACAGTACGCAAATGTTCAACAAAACGATCACCCAATCGTCTTTTAGTCTCACCCAAATACAGCATTTTAAACCTAATACAGTAAATTATTTTGGATGACGTACATGTAAAAAAATCTTTAAAGTGAATAGTTTTTAAAGGGCATTTTGTAGTCGGTCAACACAGAACAAATGGGCATGTATAACATTTGCCTTGACCACATGAATGTGTACCAGGTCGCTGATTCGAGTCCGCCAATGCTGTACGAACCAATTTATCTTTAATATTGGTGCCACGCCTGTACGCCATAATAGGGGTGAAGGATAAATATCTTGGGTATTATTAGAGGAAGATAGTAAATCAAATTCTACAAAAATAATAATTTTACGAATATGTTGGCTGAAAGGGTGGTAGGTAAGAACCAAAGGGATGCGAGTAGACCGCAAAGTGGGGGTTGGTGTTAATGCATCATCCTGGCTTAATTACTGAACACGATGGTTGGCACTGTCAATGATGGATTGCTGGTATCCCCATGACAAAAACCATAAACCCATTTTATTAATTTAATATTCAAAATCAGTTTGACCAGAACAAATGCGATGGACTCGTAAAAACTGAGAGAATGGTATAGTCTTTACAACGTTCAGGATGACATGAATCATACAAAACGTATGAATGTGAATCTGTCGGTTTATAAAACATGGAGGTGGATATACCATCATCATAGACTGTTACTGAGATATCTAAAAAAGGAATGCTGTTGCTGCAAACAATGGAAGTGAACTCTAAAGATGGATGAAATGTTGATACAAAATTAATAAAATTATCAAGTTCACTGTGAGTACACGATGCTGCCCCAACACAAACATCAATATACCGTTTAAAAAGTCCTGGCACAGGGCCAGTAAAAGTATTAAAAATAGCTCTTTCAACGTACCCCACAAATAAACATGGATAGAAAGGGACTACATGTATATGCAACACCTCAAACTTGAGTATAAAACTCAATGTTAACTGAAAAATAATTTCAAGTTAAAACAAGCTCTGAAAGGCGCACCAAAGCACTGGTAGGGGAATTTTGATTGGCACGTTGATTTAGAAAAAATGACAATGCTTTGAGGCCATCAGCATAAAAGTGTCATGTCCTACCGAATTCATTTCAGCATATCTTGATACAATTTTCTCTCCCATAGTGTAGTCTTTGCCTACATTTATAAAAGACTCTTCCCACACCATCAAATATACCGGTACATATCGTTTTGTTTTGACACTGGATGTCAAAGCAATTGTATACTGTTAATATATTATTCCATTATTTAACTATAGTGGTCGCATTGTTCATGATGGACACAGAGTTGTCCATCAAAAATTTACACCAAAATTAGGCAACAAGCAAAACTTTTGGGGGCAATTTATGTGGCAAAATTAAAAAAATCCATATTAGTTAGGAAGACCTACCTTTATGTTGGAAAACCACAATCTGTTTTCATGAAGCAATGCTATATACTGAGCATAAAAGTACCATATGATGACTGCAATGGTAATTCCAACAATAAAACTGGCTGCCCTTGAAAACCACCACAAAGTGGCTATAGTTTCATCTTCATTTTCCTCAATAAGAATCTCATTATCATTATCTGACTCAGATGTTGATCTCTCTTCATCTACATCAATATCAGACACATCTCCATCATCATTATCTGAAACCAATGTTGTCTTTTCTCTGTCATCAGCTGCACTTTTGTCCTTAGGTTTCACTTCTTTATTCCTGCGTCTCAATTCTCTTGGCATTTTCCCCTCTGTGTATTTGTAACCTTTGTTCACAAAATGTTTATTACAATTTGCATCATATCACGTCATGAACTACAAGAAATAGAATTATTTAAATTTTTATTACACAGGATTTATATTTTCTGTAGTTTAGCATGAGAAACAAAATAACACTTATTTTGCATAATTTTTTAGTTATTCACATAGCATCCTACAAATTTACATACTGTAATTGTTAAATGAGAGCTTATTTTTCAGAGTATCAGGAGAGTAATGGTCACCAAATCCGAGAGAAGATTAATGCACTGGAGAAGAGCACTTGTAACTGAGATGTTGTGGCCTAGAAATGACGCCAAGTCCCCAGATGTTCCATACAATGTATCAACATCAATATGCAAATGACTGAACTTCCGGCGTGTCACATACATTTTGGATTGACCATATATTCCAAATCAGTATATTTTTGTTACACATACTTTCAGAAAATGTGAGTGCTTTTGACATTTTGAAGATTCATCAGTCAGCATGAGCACCTGAACTTGGCAAATATTTCATAATTTTCAACAAAATCTTATGGTAATTTAACTATTTTAACACTGTATATGAAATAAATCTTCTTACAATGTTACCGACTCTGTAGTGCGAACATTAACAAATAATTACCAATCAGAGAGCAGCATGTAGGTTGACTGTTTTTTTTTTTAAATTAAAATACCCAGAATTTGACACAATTTCAGCATGTTGCAGTTTTTGAACAAAAATATGGATGTTGACTTGAAAAATTAAGATTTGGAATCATATACCATTTTTCTACAAGTTGTAGTTACAAATTTGGCCATGATTTTGTTTGGGAATTTTCAATCTTTAGTATCTATAGGAAAGTGTCTTTAACTTTAATTTTGGGTAGAAATTGATACTATTATTTGGCCAAAGCAATACTACAATTGCATATTGTTATAAAGTTGTTCAGTCTTTCCTTTTTTTGGTTTGTCACATTCTTTAATTCAATTTCCAAATTATGGTCACTGATTCATTATTCTTATATTGTAGTCTTTTATTTTATGGAGGTATTTTTCATTCAAAAGTCTACTTTAAATAATAAGTATGTTCTTAATTTGTTTCCATCATTTTGATTATCTCAACAAATATTTAATTGTTCCTTCCAGGACTGTTTATACACAATTGTGATGGTGTTGATTGTCGTGCTCTGACCTGTACGATATGGGACTCATACATTGTTTGTTCACATGAAATTCAAGAACATGCTGCACTCTGTAATACATGATTTTTCTAGAAGTGTATTTAGACTGTCCAATATTTTATTTGAGCATTTAACATGATCTGGGTTCTACTAATTTCATCTTTCACACTAACTTAATTCACACCAAATATAGAGCGATAAAATTGACTAAAAATCTGTTCCAAGCTGTTAGTTTTATTTGCAATTCCATGAGCCATATTTCTGTCCATACATTAAGATTGGTGATATTAACTTCTAAAATATTTTAAGATATAGTGATTCTGAAGTAAGCTGTAATTTAAGATTGTTTGTCGTTTAAATTTTCCATTTTGGGGTAAATTTTGTACCAAGGTAACAAAATTCCAACAATGAATCTTACAGACTTTTTTAATGAAGAATAGCAAACTACAGGAATAATGTGTGAAATTGATAAGTTGCCACATTGGTGAAAGAGACAAACTAATTCAGGTGATTAAAACAATATTGAATACCATGATAATACAGCAAAATCATAGTATGATGTCATCATTTCTTCATATCATAAGAGAAACTGTTTAACAGTCAACTTTTGTCACCTTTCACAAAATCAACCTGCAACCCAGTCTTCTTTTTCATAAAATTTCAAAAACATTGATCAAGAACTTTAATCAATATGTCCTTTTGGCCCAAAATTTACAAAATAATTACAGAAAAATCCTGTAAAATGGTTAGGGTAAGAACTCAAATACATACTTTATTCTGTTTCCTCCGAATATCTTGCTCAGTTCTCATGCAGAGAAACAAAAAACAAGCAGCCTGTCAGCTGAGATGGCTCTGCTGTTAGCAATGCACATTTCAATTAAAGAACAGAAGATATCATTAGAAAGTTAACAAGATGTATAGTATCAAAGCAATCGGACTTGCTGGTTTCAACAAGAATTCAAAATATCACTTTTCGCCAAAAATGACAAAAATAATCATCAAAATTAGATAATTGACGATATCACCACGAAATTAACAAATCTGAAAGAGGTCCAAATGTAGTACCTATCTATGTAATATAAAAGCAATCAGACTTGCGGTTTTCTACAAGAAGTCAAAAATATCACTTTTTACCAAAAATTACAAAAATATTCACCAAAATTAGAGAATTAAAAATATCACGACTGAGATTATTATTTAAGTATACCAGGGTTACCAGTACCAATACAACAGAGTAAAAAATTGAAGTACTATTTTTTTTCCAAGCTTTGGGTTTGTTTGGTTAAACCAGAAAGTTGATGAAGTTTTTTGACACTTTTCTATCAGAGTATTCACAGTATGTATACATGTTTCAGATAAGCAGAATTACTCAAATCTTAGCAACGACTTGAAGACACTATCTCTGATTGATAACATTGAGGTCTGTACTATGTCAGTTGATATTATCAAAACGCAACCTTCAGTTAAATCTAATCTGAAATTTCATATCCCAAAGATGATAAGAATATGTAATCTTGGTAATTTGGGTTTTGTTAAGGATTGATGTTTGCTTTGTAAGTCCACCTTATTACAATCTTACAAAGAAATGTCTACATATATTTTTTCAACTTCCGTCATTTATTTTTCATGCTTTTTTAGACATTGTTATTCTTGCTATATAAGGTAGTCAACTTTGATTAGCTAGTGTCATATGTACATTTTATTTTTTGTGTCCTGGACTTTCATTGTCCATCAAAACATATTAATAAATTATAGATATTTGTGAAAGTTAAAAAAATTGCAGGTTGCTAAATCTGCCGATAAAAAAAAGTGGGGGATTATAAAGCTGCAACCTGGCAGCTTTTTCAGTACTGTAATATTCAATCAAAATAAAATTATACAGTGTTTTTTTATCTATTATTTTAACAGGTGGGATGGGGGGGGGGCTTAAGTGCAAGCTGATCAGACACATTTTAACGCTTTACCCCCAATTTAGCTGATCGGTCGCATTTTTTGAAGCGCAATATGTAGCAGTACCATGAACATTGCCAAATTAATATCATATCACGAAAAAAAGTATAGCATCAAAAATAAACAGTTAAATTATAGCATAACCTCCCAAAATAAGTAATAATAATGTGGGGATAAAAATAAAATACGGTGCACAGAATGTTATTCAGAAGAAAAAAAGGTATCAAAATGTACTGGGGGGGGGGGGCTAAAAATTAAACAATCAATTTCAATAAAATGAATTTAACCCTTTTAACGCAACACAAAATTCATATTTAAACAACCAAAGACACTATCTTTTTCCAGTGTCTCTGTTTAAACTAAAAACAAACAGCTAAAATATTTATAAACTATGTTTTACACACACACGGGAAACGGTTACCAGGTATGGTGCAAACACACTCCGCCATGAAAATTTTTATTAAAAAACACATTCATTGACACCCCACCTCTAAAAAACAGTCCGCCAGGTTGCAAGGGCCCCATGAAAGTGGCGGTCACATGCAAAAACACATTTAGTTAAAAAACCTCAACTACTACAATGATAACTTACCGTCAGAGCAATCCGTATCAAAACACTCTGTGAGTTCTTAGCATTTCCTTCTCAGGAGTTTGGAACAATCCATTTTACATAAGGGGTGCACCATTTAATTATTTCAATACGCAAAGTACTTCCAGATTTGAGTAAAATCATGTTACTACATAAATGTGCAGTTATAATTAAAATGAACTACCTTTATACATTTATAAGATGGAAAAAACGTGCATCCACCTCTTTTGAGAGCACTTTTATCCCCTACACAAAAATGTCGTCGTCCTCCCATGAATCAGCATTCAATATGGCAGCTTACACGAAACTGGGATACTCTTGTTTGTCAAAAAAACATTTCAAGTGATCGCAGGCGACAGCAATGTGCTAGTGTTGCAGTTAATGTGTAGTCGTCAGTTAACCATTTACGCCGTCTCGGCGTAGTTTGCAGGGTAAGGATAAAGCTTGTTTTTTCATAATACTAGTTTTTAAGGCTCGGTAAAAAGACCTGTATTATTGACTGACTTGATCAATCCATCGACACTGTTGTTGATTTCGCATTTTAGCTGCATATCGTCCTAGGTTACGTTGCTTATCTCGAGTCGACATGGCTGATGACAGAGAAGTACTTAGAGAGGTCTGGGAAGGCCGACTCCCTGTCGCCTTTAGCTTGTCTTCCGATGAAGTCAGTGTGATGGAGCAACCCGAACCATATTACGTGAGTAAGGGATTTTGACCTTTTGACATTCGACGTATTTGATCACGGAGGTTTGGAGCTTTTTTTTTTTTAGCTCCGTGTTCTAAACACGCAAAATGAGAATCACTAAACATTTTCTACGTATAATTACACTTTAATACAATTCTTGACTTTTAATTTCTTTCTGTTGATTAGATACATAACCATACATATAACTACATATCAACCAATTACCATCCGACACCGTTGTTTAACCTACTAGTATATTAGCTAATTAGTATTATGCGCCAGTCAGGTAAACCCTTACCACCCCACCTTAGGATATGTGGCTGATGTGTGTGTAGTGCCCCACCCCCTGGGCAAACAACAAGTGATTCACTACCACTTGTTCCTGACACATCAACAGTAATCAAGGCACTGTACTGAACTTGCTGTGACCTGTGATCTCAATAGTTATTAGTCCCCGTTCGGACGAAGTCCGAAAACGGGGACTTATAATTCGGTCTCTGTCCGTCCGTTTGTCCGTGCGTCCGTGCGTCCGTCAGGAGTCATATCTCAGAATCGCTTGGATCGATTCTGTTCATTCTTTGCATGTCCCTAGTACTTTATGTGGGACATATGCACATGCAGTGGTTTAGCGATTCGATTCAAAATGGCCGACTGGCAGCCATCTTGTTTTTTGAAAATGTTGTATTTTGGACATGCTTTGTCAGTTTTCATTCAAACTTGGTACATAGATTATACATGTTAGGATACATGTCCATGATGATTTATTTCACAATTGGATCAAAGATGGCCGACTGGCAGCCATCTTGTTTTTTGAAAATGTCGTATTTTGGACATGCTTTGTCAGTTTTCATTCAAATTTAGTACATAGATCATACATGTTAGGATACATGTCCATGATGATTTATTTCACAATTGGATCAAAGATGGCCGACTGGCAGCCATCTTGTTTTTTGAAAATGTCGTATTTTGGACATGCTTTGTCAGTTTTCATTCAAACTTGGTACATAGATTATACATGTTAGGATACATGTCCATGATGATTTATTTCACAATTGGATCAAAGATGGCCGACTGGCAACATTTTATTGTGATATAATAACTGCACTTAATTCTTCCACTCGTAACATTCAACATACTCCACGAAATAAATCTGTTAATCTGGTTCCTGGCTGGAACGAAGCTGTAAAAGAAGTTTATGATGCATCCAGGGACGCTTTTAAACGGTGGGTGTCATTTGGTAAGCCCCGTTACGGTCCAATCTATGAATTAATGCGCAAGACCCGGGCTCAATTTAAGCGTGTATTTCGTGCATGTCGTAGGGATGAGGACCGCATTAAAGCTGATAAAATTGCTACACATCATTGTAATAAAGATTTTTCTAAGTTTTGGAAAGAAGTAAACTCTGATAAAGTAAACCAATTCATTTCTTGTTGTGTAGATGGTCAGTCTACTGAAGTGGATATTGCTGATATGTGGAAAGACCATTTCTCTAGTATTCTAAATTCTGTAAAAAATTGCGAATCTCGTGATTCGGTTGAGGCCAGTTTAGGTAATACCGGTAAAAGAATACATTATGCGATTATCGGGACGGAAGGTGGTTGGGACTGACAATATTTCTCCCGAACACTTAAAACACGCCAGTGATAGTTTATATGTACTCTTGTCGTTGTGCATGACAGGCATGCTTGTTCATGGTTATTTGCCAAATGAACTGTTAGAAACTATCATTGTCCCAATTATAAAAGATCGCTCAGGCGATATCACTTCCCGTGACAATTATCGTCCGATTGCTGTTGCTACCTCTATGTCAAAGTTGTTAGAATTAATACTTCTGAAACGGTTGGAGGATTTTATAACTACTACTGATTTTCAATTTAGTTTCAAGTCGAACCATTCCACGGACATGTGCGTCTATGTTGTTATTGTTAAGGAAATTATTGATTTTTATAAATCTCACAATAGTCCTGTGTTTTTATGTTTCATGGATGCGTCGAAGGCCTTTGATCTTGTCAATCATTGGTCCCTTTTTAAAAAGCTTATTGAATGTCATGTTCCATTATTTATTGTAAGACTTTTGATGTATTGGTATAATTCTCAGCAATTCTATGTTAAATGGGGTTCTGTTATGTCAGACTCGTTTGGAGTTTCTAATGGTGTTAGACAGGGGGGTATTTTATCTCCCTTTCTTTTTAACTTGTACGTTCCCAATGTTTATCTTAATGGCAAGCCACTACAATTTGTTAGTCAGTATTGTTATTTAGGATATCATTTTACCCAGAACGGAAAAGACAGTATTTGTATGAGAAAACAAATACGTGGATTGTTTGCTCGAGCCAACTTTTTATTACGTAGATTTAGTAAATGTTCTCTTCCTGTTAAGTGTACGCTATTTCGTAGTTATTGTTCAAATTTGTATTGTAGTTACCTTTGGTCAGATTTTACTGTGGCAGATTTTAATCGTATTCGTGTTGCGTATAACAACGCTCTTAGAATTATATGTAATGTTTCTCATTCTTTTAATAGTAGTATAACAGAGACCTTCGCCAGACTATTAGTGATATTTTTTTTAAATCACGTATATGGCAAATGTGGCGTGGTCGATTTTATTTAATGCATACTGTGTAATTTGTTAATATGTTTTTTTCTTACTTTTTATATGGGCTTGTCCTGAAATAAAAGATAATAAAGTAATAAATAATAAATAAAGTAACGATAAAGACATTGATACTGCAGTTACAGAATTGACTGACATTATGTGTTCTGCAGCTGACAAATCAGTGAAAAAAATTACACATAGAATGCCAAGTAAAAATAAAAGAAAACCCAACAAACAACAAAATCCACAACAATGGTTTGATGAGGATTGTTGGCAGTTGAGAAAGAAATTTACAGATACTGTTAAATTAGTGGAGAAATATCCAGATAATCCCTACATTAGGGGCCAGTTTATGTTAATGAGGAAAAAATATAACAAAGTTATAAAAATTAAAAAAAAGTTATACAAGCAAGACTTGTGGAATGAAATTATTTCACAGGAAGCAAATTTTCAAAAATAGAAAGTGCCAAAAATGAAGATGTAATCAAAGCAGACACATGGTTGAATCACTTTATATACCTCAATTGTATGCAAAATAATGACAAATTTGATACCCAGTTAGAAGAAAAAATTATAAATGAAACTAGAGATATGGAAAATAATTTAGAAAGTAGTGAAGTTTGAAACAAACCTATTACGATAAATGAGTTGAAAAAGGCTGTTAGAAAGTTAAAACTTAGCAAGTCTGCGGGTGAAGACAAATTAGTCAATGAATTTATAAAGTACGGTCAAAACTATTTATTACAACCCATTACTGCTGTATTTAATAAAGTTCTAAATTCTGGTAAATTTCCATCCATGTGGAAGGGTAGCATCATTGTACCGATTTACAAGAAAAGACCAAAATCTGATCCTGGCAATTATAGGGGAGTGGCATTATTGAGCTGCTTAGGCAAACTTTATACTGCACTTTTAAATAACAGACTAGTAGACTACTTGGAAACTAAATAAATTTACTCCCCATTTCAATTTGGCTTCCGTAGAAACAGGAGAACAACAGATTGTTTATTTATTCTAAAATCAATTATCAATAGATATGTATACTCAGAAAACTCAAAAAAGAAAATATATGCTTGTTTTGTGGATTACAAAAAGGCTTTTGACAGTATGTGGCGTGATGGCCTATACTGGAATCTGCAAAAATATGGTATAAATGGTACTGGTAGTTTCTATAATACAATTAAAAGTATGTATAGTGGGGTGGTTCACACTATAAAAACAGGCAAAGGGTTGACAAGTAAATTTGGGTCATTTACTGGGGTGAAACAGGGTTGCAATATCAGCCCAACATTATTTAGTCTGTACATGAATAGTTTGCCTGAAAAGATAATGACTGCAAATGGTAACCCACCTGAAATATAGAATAAGAAATTAGGTTGTATTATGTTTGCAGATGATGTCTTGATTCTATCGCAGTCGCAGGAAGGTATGCAAAACAGCTTAGATGCTTTGGCAGAATATAGTGATGCATGGAAATTAACTGTAAGTTTAAGCAAAACAAAATTAATGATCTTTAATAAGAGAAACCAAATTGTCAAACATAAATCTGTTTTTTATAAAGGAAATGAAATTGATGTGGTTGAAAGCTACAATTACTTGGGAATAGTTTTTACATCAAATGGAAAGTTTAAATTGGCTTGTAAGACTCTAAAAGAAAAAGCAATGAAGGCAATGTTCTTACTAAAACAAACACTCAGTTCTGTCTCAAACCTCAAAATAAGCACAGCTCTAAATCTATTTGATAAATTGATAGCACCCATCATTAGCTATGGGTGTGAAGTATGGGGAGAGGAAGTCACTAAAAATAGCGATATTATTGAAACTGTTAACTATTCTTTCTTCTGATTATTCCTGAGGGTTAAAAAGAATGCTACTAAGCTTGCAATCTTAGGAGAATTGGGAAGATACCCTCTTGCCATAAAAATTAACATACAAATAATTAAATTCTGGTTCAGATCAAAACTCCCAGAGACGCCCAAGTTAATAAAAAGCACCTTTTATGAGGTCAATACAGTAAAAACTGGGTGGACAAAAAATGTCGACAAAATAATCAGTGACAACAATCTTAATAATGCAATAAAACAACAATAAAAAAGAAGAAACCACTCCAAACCAAGACTATCTCTGCTTTACTGAAAGAGAATTACCGGTATATGATAAAATGGAAAGAAGCTCTATTTGATGACAACAGAGCAAATGGTGGAACAAATAAATTGGCAAATTATAGAACATTCAAAACACAGTTTAAAATGAAAAAAATATTTAACAACAATGAATACTATCAAACTGAGACACGCCCTATGCCAGTTCAGAATCTCTGATCACAAACTTCATATTGAAACTGGCAGGCATAGCAAACCTC